ACCCTATGTGTTTGCCTTTCAACACTTTGCTTTTTACTATTGACATTGACAGGTTGTACACCAACCCTGACACAGCACTGGGACTCCAAACCGTTAGTAAAATCCTCCAGAGATACCCAGACAAGAACAGACCTGATGCTGAAGTCTTACAGCTATTGGAGATTTGTCTAAAGTATAATGACTTTGAATTTGATGACCAACAATACCAACACATTTATTGCACTGGGGAAGGGACGATCTGAACAACCCATTTGTGAACGATTTTCAAATCACTCAGTCTCAATATCTAGCAAATGCCCATCACAGGTCTGCAGATGGTGCCAGTGTGATGGTGGGTCAGTGAGGAGGACAGGAAGGGCTCTGGAAAGACCAAAGCCCTTTTGATCTGATATTGGTAACCATGAATTTCTTGTGGTGGGCGTATGAGAATATGTAATTGAAAAAAATTCAAAATAAATAAATATGGTTAGGTTTAAGTTTATTGTAACCATGGTGCTTGAGTGTTATTAGGTGTTTCAGTTTTCTCATTTGAATACTCCACTAATAAATAGGTTAAACAAAAAATTAGATAAATGAAATACATAAATAGTATATCCTATAAAGTATGTCTCTCCAGCCACTCCCCGGTCAGGAGACGTAGTGAGGAATGCATCGGTCAGTCTGTGGGAGGCTGGGTGGGACCTTGGACTCTGGACAGGGAACCCCTGCCCTATGCGGAGGGTTTATTTGGGGTCCTGTCAGACTGGCCTGGGTGGGTCAAACAGGCTGAGATGAAAGCTGAGAAATGGCGATCCAGAGACACCTGAAAGATGAAACCCATTCCTGAAACTCCTCAGTGGCCCTGCTAAGTACTGCGCTGTGTTTCTCTGTGTGTGTTCCTGCTGTTTATCTTGCTGTTACTTCACTGCTGCAGCAGCCTGTGCTTTGGATCATTGTATACAGCTGTTACCGTAGCTGAGAAGGATCCTGATGATATGGGAATGCGCATTGGTAGTTGTGGGCGTAAGTGAACAAAGAACATTATTCTTGAGAGAAAGTACAGAAGCAAGAATCACATGCCTCAATCAGAAGCATTTCATTGGAGGAAGGAAGTTGGTTGGGGGGGGGGGTAATGTAGCGCTTTAGTCATACACACTTTACAGTTACTGCAACGCCACCATTTGGTCATGAGAAAGGGGCAAACCTTTTCAACGTCAGTTAGTTCAATTCATTTTCCAGCAACACATCAATATCCACTGAAATAAAACATTTTATCATGATAAACATTTCAGCTATTGCCTAACTGTTATCACCTAGTGTGTTGGGGCATGTATAACACACCATTCAGCCACATACACTGCATTAACAGTAACAGTACAACAGTAACATTCGATACTACTTTACGTAAGCAGTGTTACAATGTTAAAATAGCTTACTTTATAAGATTACATTTCTCCGAAAAGTAGTCACAGGTATCACAGCCTTAATGAAACGCTTCACTTGTTTTCTTCCTGCTTGTTTCCACATATTCATTGTATTGGTGGTATGTGTATGATGTATGCCAGTGTTGGCAGTATGACAGAGAGCCGCTGAATGAAATCCCACTCTGCTCTGTGCCTAGTATGTATCTATTTTAGTACATAATGCCTTGCCTTTTTAAAAATAGGATGAAATGGCAATAGTCAGGATCTCATTGGCACTGTTGTCGAGTTGTACTCTGTTTACCGATCTAGTACCTCAACAAGGTTTCAGAAAGGAGCACTGGTGCTACCCTAGAGTGTAACACTTTTTTGGGAGTGCTTGCTTGTATAGTACCACTAGGACTATCTTTATGGGTTAGGGTTAGAAATGTTTTCGTACAATATGGATTGCACAATTTCCGCATGTTGCCCAGTAGAGTTCTGCACAGGCATGCCCGATTCAGTCAGATCTGAGCCCAGTCCAGATCCTACAGCCAACAACATTCAACTTGACCACAGTGTCAGTGTGCTGCGTTCATGCTGCAGGTGAAGAGGCTGTTCAGATCTTGTCCAAACCTTACCCAGACCTGTTGTGCTAATAAATCGAAATCTTCTGAGGGCAGTTTGTGCTGCACTGCACTCGACTCTCTGGCCATCCTGGAGTGGCATCGCAGTTTTTCTGCCGAGTCAGTTCATGTTAGAGGAAATGCTCTGGGTTCCCCTCTGCTTTCCAGTCTTCCTGCTGCCGTCTGCTCTCTGTCAGCATAGTTGTACACATCAGCTTGTTTTTCTCCCTTGAGAAGAAATGTTTTGCTGACATTTATTCTTATACAATGTGAAAAACAACTTCTGCAGGGTGAAATATTCATTCACAGTATTCACAGTTAAAGCTCCAGTGTGTAACATTTAGGAGGATCTATTGTCAGAATTGGAATATATATATGCATAGGTATGTTTTATATATTAGTGTATAATCACCTAAATATAGGAATCAAATGTTTTTGTTACATTAGAATGAGTTTTTATCTACAGACATTGCAGTGTTCAGTGCGTTGCAATCTGCAGGTTCATCCCTACACACTGGCCCTCTAAAGTGTCCTTTGTTTTCCCCAAGTTTAGTTTATTTATAGTTCCTTTTGAACATAGTGACAATTCCATGTATTTTATTTAAGGCAGGCAAAGAAATGCGTTAGAATAACTTCAATTCAATTAAATTATATTTGTATAGCGCCAATTCATAACAGAAGTTATCTCAGGACACTTTTCAAATAGAGCAGGTAACATGAAAAAGATGAATGAAATGAATTAAAATAGAAAAATATAGACTACAAGAATTAAAGTAATAAATTGCAAATCCCAACTTTAATAAAGGCACAGTAGTTTGTATCTGATATTAATGGGCGCTAAGTCCTAAAAATAAAATCAGATTTACAATGAAAATGTTTTTCCTAAAAACCAACAACAAAAGACAGCATAGCTTTAGCATTGAGAAACACCACCACATCTGTAATATATTATCAGCCTCTTCCTGTATGGGATACTACGGAAAAATAATTCTACACTTTTTCTGTAGATGAGACTTGAGTGGATTGAGGTTTGTTTTACAAAGTCCTTAGCAGCTATGTATCCCTGCATTATATAACAGTTGTATTTTAATTCATGATTGCACAATTCAGACATGTTTTAGCATAGTTTTAAAAATATACATTCGTGTTGATGGATTGATCGCACTAGGATCTGACTCCGGGAACTACTACTGTTTGCAATCTTTTGGGAAGACCAGACAGAGCACCACTGCAGTAGTCCACCCTGCTTAAGATAAAGGCATTAATACGTTCATCTACATTGTGTCTGTACATAAAATGTCTATTTTTTGCTATTATCCAGTACTGTCTGGTTTAGCAGTTGGTTTTGGTAAGTCTGTCGATTGACTCTCCTGCCCTTTCTGTGACCCTCACAAGCCCATCGGTTCCTTCTGAAGACAAATATTTAAAAACTGGTCCCAAATATACAGCTGGCCACTGTAGTTTTTAGCTAATGTTACTCAAACTGGGAAATAGTGAAGTTGTTGGGGACATCAGCAGTGGATTAATCTACATTTGGGGCAGCAGGGTGGTGTATGTGTGATTGATTCTGTTTATCTACACTGTGTGTGTTCATGGTAATGAAGGAACATGTCACCCAGTACAACAGTTCGGCTCACTGATGTGTTTTAATGGACAAACAATGGAGCTCTATGGCACAGAGGAAGAGGATCTGTCATTACCAGGACCAAGATTACCAGAATATTATTAATTCTTTAATAAAAATGGAGTCAAATAATATGATATCCATCAAATCACAGGTTGACAACTTGAAGGGAAATTCTAAGTATATATTTGTCTGATCTAATGACAATATGACATTTAACTATGTGAGACTGAGGTAACTTTTTGTGAGGGCTCGACTGATTGGAGCTAACATTTTGGTTGGTCAGCTTCATGTTAAAAGGTTTCCCTTGTTTGCTTTCAGGGAGGGAGGAGGGAGTTTCCTGTGTGGAAAAGGATGTTACAGCTGCAGGGAGGAGAGCAATAGTGAAGTGGGGAAGTTTGAAGAAAATCACATTTGCTACTTATGTGAAGGGAAAAGGCATCATGCTGTTAATTTCAGATTGATTTGAATGTACAGTTAGAGAGTGTCTTAATGTGTCCAAATATGAGGATTTAAAAGTCATTAAATTGGCTTTAATTTACATATAAATCTGTACTGAGATCACTCCTGTCAGTCACCTCTTGCATATTTCTCTGCCTCTCCAGGTCTTCACCATCTTTGCCTTTGCTACCACTGGAGGTTACAGTGGGACAACCCACTTTACAGTCACCTGCTCAGGAAGCCAGGTGGTGCAGGATGTTAAGCCTGTGTTCGCCTACCCATTCAGGTACTGTCGAACACCAGAGGAGCACTCCAAGTCATAACAGACTTTGCTGGTTATCTCTTGTTGAAGCCACATTACTGCCAATACATCTTGAAAACAGTTTACATGTGAAACAGGATTTTCTTAAAGTTTGCAACCCATGCTAAAACAAAGCCAGGTCAAACACTGGTTAG